AGTGAGAACCAAGTTCCCCCTCCGGCCCCGGCCATCGATCTTCAAGCTGCCTTTGCGGCCTTTGTTCAAAACATGGCTCTCAATTCCGGAGCCCTCGCCTCTCAGGCACCCCTCCAGCCCTACGCTGGAGGAAATATCATTCAATTGCCACCACTCCCCCCTCTGTTCAACAATCCTCTCCCGGGGGTTGGAAACGCCGAAGGGGTCATGGCACAGGACACCGCCTCCCAAGAGGCCCAATCCAGGGATAAACGTCCCTTGATGAAGGAGAAACCCCGGACCTCTGCACTTGAGAGGCTTGGGGGAGCTCCCGTACGCCGAGGGGTCCAAGACCGCCTCGGCAAACAAGAATTCAGCAGGCCTCAGGAGAGCGGAGCCTCCGCTTCGGGAGCCGAGGGCATACCTCCACCCCGAAGCAAGGGCAAAGCCATCCTCCATGCCGATGACGCCAGACACCAAATCAATCAGGCGCAATCCTTCCGGGCCAACTCCCAAGGGGTTGCCCCGAAGGATCCCAAGGACGAAATTATCGAGGCCCTCCTCCGCCAACTTGAGGAGAATCGTCAGGCACCCCCGACGGCTTCCACAGCGAGGCCAGATCCCGAATACGCTGACCTCCGGGCACAGGTGGAGGAAATGAAACGTAAACTCGCCGAAGGCTCAGGCGAGCCCCTCATTCAACTCCGCACTAGAACCCCCTTCACCCCAAGGGTGTTGGCGGCCAAAATCCCCCACAAATATCGCGGGCAACCCATCAAACCGTATGAGGGGAAGACGGATCCCCAAGAGCATTATAGCCGCTATCAAAATAGCATGATGATGATGGGGGCCTCGGATGAATACTTATGCCGTTGGTTCCTTTCCACCTTGGAGGGACCGGCGTATGAGTGGTTCAACCGGTTGCCCGAAGGCAGCATTGATTCTTGGCAAGAACTTGCCCACCGCTTCCTTACGCAGTTTGCTGGGAGGCACCGCTCAAAGAAACACTTCTCCCACCTCCTAAACGTGAGACAGCAGAAGGAGGAAACCCTTCGGAGTTTCCTAGAACGCTGGAGGCAGGCCTCCCTCGAGGTCGAAGGTGCTGATGACAGAACCTTGATGGCCCTCTTCCACACCGTCCTCCGCAACGGTAACTTCTCTCGGAGTCTTATCACTGATCCCCCCCGCGATTATACGAAGGCCCTTCAGCGGGGGGACCGTTATGCTGAGGCAGAGGAGATCGAGAAGGACCGCCGCAACACGGATCCTTCTCAGAAGAATGAGGGCAGGAATCGGTCCGGAGGACCTCCTCCCCCGGCCAACCGCGAGGCTCAATACAATGATCGCCCCCGGGGCGGCCAAGCCAGAACCGGGGGCGGTTACAAAAACAATCCGAAGGCATGGGCGCAACCCGTCCTCCTTGAGCACCCACGTACTCCCTTGACGCATCCCGTCAGCGTCATTCTTGATCATGCAGAAGAGCGAGGGCTCGTTGAGCGGGACTCCCGCACACCCCTCGAGATCTATGCCATCGGCCCTGATGAGCCATATTGCCGCTTCCACCGCCACCATGGACATAAAACCGACGACTGCCACCAGCTGAAGAACGCCATCGAGAGGCTGATACAGGCGGGCCACTTGTCTCAGTTTATCAGGGGCCCTCCTCCCCAGGGCCCCCTTCACCATCAAGGGCCACCACCGAAGGCAAACAAGTGGGTGAACCCCAACACCATTCCCTTGGGGAACCCACAGGGAAAGAAGCGAGAAATTGGGGGCCTCGACGACGAGGGAGAGGGCTCCCATCAACAATATAAGCGCCATATTCATATGATCAACGGCGGCAACACCGGAGGCGATTCAACGAGCCAAAGGAAGAAGTGGGCACAGTCCCTCTACATTGGGGAGGTCAATCACATGCCCCCTACTAAAAGGCCGAGGGCGGATCCCATCTTCTTCACAGATGCGGACCTCCCCTCGGGCTCCCTGCCGCATAGGGATGCCCTCGTCATCCGCACTGAGATCAACAACGCCATCATCCACCGGACATACGTTGACACAGGGAGTTCTGTCAACGTCATGTATCTCAGCACTTTTCAAGAGTTGGGACTCGACAGGGGGTCCCTCCGACACATCAACACCCCCCTCTCCGGATTTACGGGGGACAGCATTGACGCCGAGGGCGTCATCACTCTCATGGTCGAGTTCGGCGACGGATCCCGTAGAGCCAAGCTCGAAGTGGAATTCGTCGTCGTCAACCTCGACTGCGCGCACAACATCATCCTCGGCCGGCCTGCCCTCGAGGACTTAGAAGCCATCATCTCCATGAGACACCTCTGCCTCAAGTTCCCCACACCCACCGGTATCGGTTACTCGAGGGGGAATCAGAAGCTCTCCAGGGCCTGCTACCTTCAACTTACCAAGAAGGTTAGTAAAACTGAACTTCGAGTTGACACAATCACCGCCAAGGCCCTAGAGGAAGAAGAAGGTAGGCCGAGGGCTGAGCCTGCCGAAGAGACCGAAGACTTGATACTCAATCCGGCCAAGCCGGAGAGGGTCCTGAAGATTGGAGCCAAGCTCCCCGAAGCCCTGAAGACTGGCATCGCCGAGGCCCTCCGCGCCTACTCCATTGTTTTTGCATGGGGGCCGGAGGACATGCCAGGAATTGACCGAAGGGTTATCACCCACCGCCTGGCGGTAGACCCTTCGGCCAAGCCAGTACAACAACGGAGAAGACCCCTCTCGGCCGAGAGAAGGGAGTTCGTGAAGAAGGAAGTATCCATGCTCCTCTCCATCAAACACATCAAGGAGGTGAAATACCCTTCTTGGTTGGCGAACGTAGTCCTCGCACAAAAGCCTCCAACTTTCCGCATGTGCGTGGATTACACGGATCTGAACAAGGCATGCCCTATGGACCCCTTCCCGCTGCCAAACATCGATCAACTGGTGGATGAAACCGCGGGATGCGAGATCATGTCATTCCTCGACGCATTCCGCGGGTATCATCAAATCTACATGCATGAGGAAGACGCTGAAAAAACCGCCTTCATGACACCCGAAGGCATCTTCTGCTATCTTGTGATGGCCTTCGGCCTCAAGAATTCAGGCGCCACCTACACACGCATGGTGGCTAGGGTTTTTCAAGCTGTCCTAGGACGCACCATGGAGGCTTACGTTGACGACATGATCGTCAAAAGCAAGAAGGCAGACACTCACGCCGACGACCTCCGGGAAATCTTTGCCATCATGCAAAGATTCAATCTCCGGCTGAATCCGAAGAAGTGCACCTTCGGCGTCCAAGGAGGGAAGTTCTTAGGCTACATGGTCAGCCGAAGGGGTATTGAGGCCAACCCCGAGAAGATTCAGGCCATCATCAACATGGAGCCTCCACGCAACGTCAAAGAAGTTCAACGGCTGACGGGTCGCCTGGCGGCCCTCAACCGATTCCTCTCTAAGTCAGCCGAGAGGGCCCTCCCCTTCTTCCAAATCATGAGGAAGACGGCGGGTTTTCAATGGACACCTGAGTGCCAAGGGGCCTTCGACGAACTCAAAAAGTACCTCTCCTCTCCCCCAGTGCTCTCCAAACCAAAGGTGGGGGAGACTTTATACTTATATCTCGGCGTTAGCCCCGCGGCTATCAGCTCAGTGCTGATCCGAGAGGAAGACGGCATCCAACATGCCATCTTCTACGTCAGCAAAACCCTCCGGGAGGCCGAACTCAGGTATTCTCCCGTCGAGAAGACGGTGCTAGCCATCGTTTGGACCGTCAAGAAGCTTGGCCACTACTTTCAAGCTCATCCAGTCCAGGTGCTCACCCATCAACCCCTCGGCGCCCTCATGAGGAGTCCCACTAGCTCCTCTCGGATGGTGAAATGGGCCATCTTCCTCAGCCAATACAACATAGACATCCGTCCGAGGCCTGCCATTAAGGGCCAAGCCCTGGCAGACTTCGTAACAGAATGCACCGCAAGGTCAGCGACAGACGAGGAGCCTTCGGCACCTCTCGATGAGTGGTGGACACTCTATACCGATGGCTCCTCGGCCACCAAAGCATGCGGAGGAGGAGTAGTTCTGATCACACCCGAAGGCTTCCGCGCCTATTATGCCATCCGCTTCTCCTTCAAAGTCTCCAACAACGAGGCTGAATATGAGGCCCTCCTCTGCGGCCTTCGGCTGGCAGCAAACCTGAAGGCTAAGTTGATCCACGTCAAGTGTGACTCCAAACTTGTTGTGGGTCAAATTTCCGGGGAGTACGAAGCCAAGGAGGGAAGGATGAAACAATACAAAGAAGCGGCTAAGGAGTTGCTCAAGGTGTTTGAGGCACATTCTCTCACCCAAATACCGAGGGCTCAAAACTCCGAGGCCGATATTCTATCCAAGCTCTCGGATGAATCCCCCGAGCACCTTTCCAAAATTGCGAGAATTGAGGAACTCAGCCTCTCAAGCATCCACGCGAGCCCCGTCATGGACATCCACCTAAGGCCGGAGGACTGGATCTCTGACATTATCGCCTTCATCGCCACAGGGCAACTGCCCCAAGACGAAGCCCGCGCCAAGTTGGCAAAGCTGAGGGCTCCCAGCTACACCATCGAAAACGGGAGGCTTTACAAGAGATCTTACAACGGCACCCTCCTTCGGTGCCTTCATCAAGATGAGGCCGAAATCGCCATGGAGGAAGTGCACAGTGGCACTTGCTCAGCTCATCAGGGACCTTTCTCCATGTCCCGAAGGCTCATAGTTCAAGGCTACTTCTGGCCCACGATGGCTAGAGATTGTGCTGATCTAGCCCGGAGGTGCACCGCTTGCCAACACTTTCAGAAAGCCCCCGGCAGACCAGCGGTTAACTATGCCCCCGTCAGCACCGCTATACCCTTCTCCAGATGGGGGATTGACTTGGTAGGCCCTCTGCCGAGGGGTACCTCCAACAACAGGTACATTATTGTGGCCATTGACTACTTCACCAAATGGGTGGAGGCGGAGCCCCTCGCCAGCATCACGGAGGCCCGGTGCCGTCACTTTGTCCTCAAGAACATTCTCACGAGGTTTGGCGTCCCCCAACAAATCATCTCCGACAACGGGACTCAGTTCGAGGCAGCCCCCTTCTGCGCCCTCCTTGAAGCTTGGGGCATCAAGCACACATTCTCTTCCGTTGCCTACCCTCAGGGCAACGGGCAAGTGGAGAACGCCAACCGAACCCTACTTGAAGGATTGAAGAAAAAGCTGGAGGCCGAAGGGGGAGGCTGGGTAGAAGAGCTTCATAACATCTTGTGGGCCTACCGTACCACCCCTCGGCGTGCAACAGGCGAAACACCCTTCTCCCTATGCTATGGCTTTGAGGCTAAGGCTCCAACAGAAGTTACCCTTCCTACCCGAAGGGTGGAACAATATGAGCCCGAGGCCAACGACGCAAACATGGCCCTCGACCTTCATCTCATCTCGGAACGCCGAGAGCAAGCTTTTCTCAGGGCCGAAAACTATAGGAGACAAGTCAAGGGATACATCGACGCCAAGGTCCGCTCCCGGGAATTCCAGGTGGGAGACTACGTCCTCCGACGAAGGGAGGCCAGTCTACCCACCGAAGGAGGGAAGATGGCACCCAAGTTTGAAGGCCCCTACATCATCTCAGCCATCATCAAACCGGGAACATACAAGTTAAAACGTCCTAATGGGACAGAGATTCCTAGACATTGGAATGTGCACCACCTAGTGAAGTTTTACCAATGAGTGGCCAAGCCCTCATCCTCAACAAGTGTAAATGATCAATGGCCCAAGGCCCCATCTGTTTTTGAAGAATAATCAAAAGGCCAAGCCTTCATCACCTACATATTGTACAAACGGCCCGAGGCCCCCTTCTCTCCTACACATGAGTGGCCAAGCCCTCATTTCTCCACCAAAATAGGCCCAAGGCCTCTCCCTCTGATGAGGGGGAACAACAATTTAGGTACCAAGTACCAAGTGTATGGGTCACCCCCATCACTTTTTGAAAACACCAAGTGTTTTCACAAACTTTTACATACTCTCCTTAAAAAAAAAAAAAAAAAAAAAAAAAAAAAAAAAAAAAGAAAACGGGGGGTGCAATACCCCTCGGCTCCGGCTGGTACCAAGTGCCCCCGGCTATTTGTGTACCACACACAAATAAAACCCTTCCCAGGAACGCTTTCCGCGCCATCCCCCAAGGGGAGGCAGGCAACGGACTATGTCCCGGGCCCAGGATTCGACTTCCACAAACGAAACGCTCCCCGCGCTATCCCCCAAGGGGAATGTAAGGAATAAATGTAATTAGATTTTGATGATGCTATAGGATTAGAAAGTTAGAGTACCCCCAATTAGATTTTATGTATTAGAATTTTCAATTGTAAGTATTAGTGTAGTCGACGATCAGAGTTGCTCTATTTTGGATCAGATCAGAAGTGCATCAGACTTGCTCTATGAGAACTGCTCCATCAGAGTTCTCTTAGCAGAAGTCCATCAGAGTTGCATCATACGAGTTGCTGATGAACCTGGACATCTGATAGCCGATGAGAACTACAGATCAGAAGTACTCATCAGCGGACCTATCAGAGTCAGAGTCAGAGTTCAGTCAGAGATCAGAAGACCATCAGAACTCAACTCGTCAGAAAGCCATCAGAATCCAACATATCAGAAGAGCCTGATCAGAGCCCGACGAACACTTAGAAAAATTTCAAGCAACATCCAACAGCTCTGAATTCAACGGGTAAAAATATCCAACGGCTACAAGACTGTGCATGAAAGGAAAGCATTTAATGCACATTAAATGAGCCTGATACGCTGAAGGATTGATTGCAAATGATTGACCAAGGAATCCGGGAAGATATATTATAAAAATAGAAACCTTCCAAAAACGGCGGTCAAGTCAACAGTACGCGCATTTAATGCAGTTGTCTCCTCCTCCAACGGGCAGACAACCTCAGTATATAAGCTACACACCGAAGAACTGGAACTTAACTTTGCTACAACTTTTGCTCATCATCATTCAAGCTTTCTTGAGATTCAAATTCTACAAACTTCAACAAGACAAGCTTAAATTGGGAAGATTCAAACTCCAAATCTCTCATCCCCAACAAACAAGCAAAGTTCATCCTGTTCTTCAACACTTCAAGAACTTCATCAAACATCATTTGTAACGAAGCAAGTTGGAGGAAAAACTCTGTTTTTCAAAGGATCTTCTGAAAAGAAGGGCGTCCAAGTAACTGCAGTAGTGAAGTGGTGATACTTCCGGGAAGCTGAGTGAAAGGACCAGCCATCAGGACGTGGAACTGCATCCTGGGTGGCAGCTAGACTTGAAGAAGGCGTGGAGAACTTCTTAAGTGCTAGGAACTAAGCTTTGTAACCGATCTACTTCAAAGCTAGTGGAACAGTGGACTAGAGGAACGAGTTGTTCCTTGAACCACTATAAAATATCCGGTGTCATTTACTTTACTGCAATTTATATTTCTGCACTTAGGATATTAACTGATTAACTCTAAGACTTGGAATCTGTGTTCAGCAGATCTTGTTCCCAGAGTTATCAGGAAGGCATTTGCCTTAGTATTTTTCTGAGGCTACCCGGACAGATCAGAATCCGCTGCCAAGGCCAGTTCTGATATCAGAACCAGCCTTTCTCTGACATCAGAATCAGACCTTCTCTGATAAGTCAGTTTTGACTTAGAGAAAATTTGAAAATCCAATCAGTCTATTCACCCCCCCCCTCTAGACTGATTACCATATTAGACGGGACCAACAAGTGGTATCAGAGCTTCCTTGTTCTTGTAATCTTTTAGGTTACTCTCTGAACAAAGATCCACTTGTTCTTAGCCTCTATTTATTTGTTGTTATGGATAACTCTCTTGCCAAGCATCTAATGTTCACAGATCAGAAGTACGATGATTGGAAGATCAGAATGAAGGCACATCTATGTGCTCTTCATGATGAAATGTGGGAAGTCTTGGAAAATGGCCCCTTTATCCAGTTCATGAAGATCAATCCTGCTCACTCTATTGATAACTCTCAGCCCCAGATGATTGAGAAAGCCCGGTCAGAATGGACCAAGGAAGAGAAAAGGCAGTACAACCTAGATAATATAGCCAAGGACATCCTTTACAAGGCTATTGATGAAAGATACTTCAACAGAATCAAGAAGTGCAGAACTGCCAAAGAAATCTGGGATAAGCTGGATGAGATTGGAGCAGGAGATGAACAAGAAAGAGATAACAAGTTGACCATTGCTATGAAGAAGTTTGATGATTTCAAACTTCTACCAGAAGAATGCATTGCTAAAATGCATGAGAGACTGCTGATTCTCATTAGTGAGATTTCTGAGCTTGGAAAGGAGCTCACCATCAAGGAGGTCAACATGAAGATCCTCAGGGGACTGCCCTCTGCCTGGAAGATGAAGGTGATTGCAGTCCAGGAAAGCAAGAACATCAAGACTTATGCCACTGAGAAACTCATCTCTGATCTCAAGGCTTATGAGTTTGAGATGCATGAAGAGAAGGAAGAAGTTCCTGATGAAAGGATCACCACTGCTCTCACTGCAAGTACCTCTAAGGTAAGTGACTTTGACCCTTCTACTCTCTTATCTGATGAATATATGGCTGCTTTTGCCAGAAAGTTTAAGAAGTTTATGAAGAAAGATGGAAGGAGTCCATCTTCCATCAGAAGACCACATCAGAAGACCAAATCTTCTGAAAGCAATGGAGAGTACCTCTGCTACAACTGCAGACAACCTGGGCATTTCAAAGCAAACTGCCCCTATCCAAGAGTGTCCAAGAAGCAAGGACATGAAGAAGAAAAGAGACCAGAAGATCAACACAGAAGAAGAAGAGCATTCGTCTCAGAGCAAGCTGAGAGAGATCCACTCTCTGAATCAGAGTCCAGCTCAGACTCCGACTCTGATGAAGCATTTTGCTGCTTGGATGCAGAAACTGAAGACCTCTGCCTCATGGCACAATCAGATGACGAGGTATGCTCTACTTCTGATTCTATTTTTTCTTCGGTAGGCACAGCCTTAAATGATGATCCAATGTCATCATTCTGGGAAGAGTTCCAAACTATCCAAGCCACTTATTCTTTTGTTAAAGAAGAGAACAGTAGGCTGAAAGTTGATATCTCTAATCTAAGGAAAGAGACTGAGTGTAAACTTAATTTCTTAACTGAGGAAAGAGATAGACTGAAAGCTGAAAATGAGTCTCTTCTGAAAAGAATAAGAGACATTGAGGAACTTGAGAGTAGATATAATAGTCTTCTGAAGATGCAATCTTCCATGAAGAATATTGGTGACTCTCATAACTTCACCTCTGGTCTTGGATATGTTGAACCAGAGTCTGGTGAGCCTTCTGTAAGGCCTAGCACCCAAGTTGCTAAGGCTAAAAAGGTCATAGTGCCACAGACTCTGAGCCCCAATTGCCATGCTAGTACTTCTGGTACTAAAGTTGTTCATGAGAAGGTCATACCAGAGAAACAAACTCTAACGGCAAAACCAAAACAAAGCTTGAAAACTAATGAACCTGGCAGACACTCTAGGAAAAGGAAAAGTTTTCAGAACAATAATAATCAAAGGCCTAACCCTATCAGACAATCTCATGACAATGGTATCAGAAACTGCTATCAGAAAGGCAGATATCAAGAGAAGATTAACTATAGACAGAAGAGGTTGTCTGGTCAACCTCAGAAGTCTAAAGTCAAGCGCTCCTCTGATCTTGATAGTATATGGGACTTCTTTCCAACCAAGAAGGCTATGCAGAAGTATGCAAACAGAAAGCATGATCCTCACAAGCATCTGCCCAAAGTGAATCATACATCTGTTTACTACAACTACCAGGTGGACAATGGGTACCATCCACCGAGGTTTCAGTTGATGAGACCAAAATGGTACCAACTACCAAGACTGCATTACCCCCCAGGACCCAACATTGCTTGGGTACCTAAATCTTCCTTTTAATCTTGCAGGAACTGTGTGCTGGAGCCATCTCAGAAAAGGAATGGTATATTGACAGTGGATGCTCCAGACACATGACAGGTGACAAGAGTTGCCTATCAGAGTTCCAGAAAATCAATGGACCCAGAGTCACTTTCGGTGGAAATGACAAGGAAGGGCAAACAAAAGGAAGAGGGAAGCTGATCAAGAACCAGATAATCATTGAAGATGTCTCATATGTCAAAGGTCTAAAGTTCAACTTGCTGAGTGCTAGCCAATTCTGTGACAAAGGCTACACAGTTGAATTCACCAAGACCTTATGCTATGTCAAGCATGAGACAACCAAAGAAGTGGTTCTTACAGCCAAGAGAAGGAAGAACATCTATGTTGTTGACTGGCAAACAGCAAAAGATGGAACTTGCCTGATAGCTAAGGACAATTCAAAGCTAAGCTGGGACTGGCACAAAAAGCTTAGCCATCTGAACTTCAAAACCATCAACAAACTGGCAAGGGAACACATTGTAGATGGTCTGCCTGACATTGTCTACAAGAAGGAGACCCTCTGCAGTGCTTGTCAGAAAAGCAAACAAGTGAAGACCTCATTCAAACCCATAGCTGGAGATCTTTCTACTTGTCCTCTAAATCTGATCCATATGGATTTATTTGGACCAGTTGAAACTCCCAGTGTTGGTGGAAAAAGATATACTCTTGTTATGGTTGATGATTACTCAAGATATACTTGGACTGTGTTTCTGACTAAGAAGAATGAAACTCTTCAGAAGTTGCCATCTCTGCTAAAGCAACTCCAAACTGAGAAGAATATGAAGGTCAGAACAATCAGATCTGACAGAGGAACTGAATTTGTCAACAAAGTGATCAAAGACTTCTGTGATCAGAATGGTACATTCCATCAACTTTCTGCTGCCAGAACACCCCAACAAAATGGTGTTGCAGAAAGAAGGAACAGAACACTGAAGGAAGCTGCAAGAACTATGATTGCAGAATCAGGATTGCCCATCAGATACTGGGCTGAAGCTATCAACACTGCATGCTACACTCAGAATAGAAGCATGATCCACAAGAATCATCAGAAGACCCCCTACGAGCTGTGGAAAGGAAGAAAGCCAAACATCAGCCACTTCCATGTGTTTGGATGCAAATGTTACATTCTAAACAATGGAAAGGAGAACCTGAAAGTATTTCAAGAAAAAGCTGATGAAGGTGTATTCTTGGGCTACTCAAGCTCAAGCAAAGCCTATAGAATACTCAACAGAAGATCTCTACAAGTTGAAGAATCCATTCATGTCAAGTTTGATGACAGCACCT